CTTCCCATCGGTAGCACCCGGACTATCGTCGGTGCCATGGTTTGAGAAATCTTGCTCGTGTATTTGCCAAAGTACACATCCAATTGCACGAAAGACAATGTCGAACTCACCTTCCATGCTCGCCCCGCTGAGGAAACCGGGGTTGTAGGCACAAGTGTGCTCGAAGGTGTGGCCTTAAATTGTGGTGAAGGTTTCATATGTTGACGGTAAAAATGACATGGTTTTACATCCTGAGAACATGGTGAACATACCTCGGAATAAAAGAAAATGAGCATGGCATGAACATATTTTATTCAAATAACAAAGTTCCACTTGTCTTAAAATTTCACATGTGTAGGAATGAAAATGGAAGAAAGTGGGACCAGAGAACGAAGAGTGCTACCCTGTTTGCCTCCCTCCAGGGTCGTGATTGATTTGGATAGGTGATTCTAAGGATCATGTTGGATTGGGCTGAACAAGACCAGTGGGGGTTGGAATGGAGTTGGACCCAGTTCTAATTCAACTAGGATTGAAGTGGGGTTAAGGGTAGATCATAACCCATTACCAGGCCTAGCGTATATATAGCTCCAACCAACTCAACTAATCGTTATAAGCTCTGGTTGCAAAGTAGTGAGCACCAGATAGCTTCGGTGACAACACCGAATAAATCTGGCGCCCTGCTATGTGGACTAGGCGTTGTCGCCCATTGGGAGCCTCATTTATCTAGTTGTTTATTCGGTGCGTTGTCCAGAGACCGAGACTTCTTTGGACCGCATATTTAATCTTCGGTGCATCACTGGAGAGCTTTAGTGCTCTCTTCTTTTCCATCGTGCCTATGCAATGTCTCTATACTCACACTCTGGTGTTGAATTCTGGTGCCCCCACAGGAAGTACGTCGTGCATTGCTTCCATGTTTGTCTAAGGCTGCTGTCTGGGCCCACTCCACTTCTCTTGTGCTCACAAATGAGAGTTTTAGTGCATACCAGAAAGCTCGGGTGCTCATTTGAGTGTGTTTCTTTGTGTCCAATTGTCCATGCTTCACTTGTATGATGTCTTGACCTTCTTTCTTGTCTTTTAGGGTCTTCAATGCTCTTCTTTGATCTTCATTTGAGGTGTTGGTTCCATGATCTTCACCGTAGCCTAGCCCAAGTCCATCTTTGCATCCTAAGAACTAATCCACCTTGTATACTAGCAAAAATGTTAGTCCTAATGGTTATATATGTTATTAATCAACCACAAACACATTAAACCTTGCTAGTATTTATGTTTCTTACAAGCCAGAGCACTTGAGATCTCCGTGACCTTCAAGCGAAGGTGTAGTGGCCTCCTAGGTGGAGACCTTTGTTCTTGGTGTGGAACATCATTACATCGGTGTGCAAGGGACAAGGAGACCCCCTCCCTTGTGTGGAGAAACTCCGTAGTGTACATGGTGTCAAGGTGTTTGGAATGGCAATGTGATGGTGGTGAGACTTCGTGACTCATAGCATTAGCCTTGGTTGGAGGATGCCTTGCGTGTCAAATCCAACACCATGACCGGGCGAGATATGCAGTGACTAGGAGCGTATGGTGGAGCTCTAACATGGACTTAGAGTCACGTGTTTTGGCAACTGATACCCCTTCTTGGATGTTCACGGGACCTTAGCAGAGGTAATGTGGATTCATATTTTACTTCAAAAAAAATGGTATCCAATGTCCTCTCACAGCCAAGTTATAGTGTGATAATCTTGATACCAAATATCTTTTAGCTAATTCTTGATGCTCGAACAAGTATAGAAGTTGATTATCATTTTGTTAGAGAGCAAGTATCTAAGAAATTGTTGGTGATTCCTTGTGGAGATCAAATAGCATATGGCTTCACTAAGACTATCTCTAACAACAACGCCCAAAATACAAGACCTATTCGACCTTTTGGTAGCGCTATAGGCAAATGGTTCAATACCCATTCGGCATCGTCTCCAACAACAGGACCCAAAAGAGAATCATTTCTGCAAATAGATTTCCGAGAGAGAGGATGTTCATATTTGGGTTGTGGCTCTCAGACAACCTAAAATGAGTCTCCCATATAGGTACTCTGTTGGAGGCCGATTTTAGGTCTCTTGCTACCCATTTTGGGTTTAGGTGCCCATAGGTCACTTGTTGAAGACAATCTAAGTCATTGTCGGTGAGACTATTGGAAAATTTCAAACATAATCTTAATCTTGTACGATTATCAATGAGGCGGGGAGGGTTTGTTAGATAAGTTATATAATCAGGCTATAGTTAGTATGCGCAAAGTAAAATAACAGACATTTCTAATACTGTATGATATCCGAGTTTCACATATCCTGTACATGTCACGCGAGAAGCTATTTATCGTCTCTATAAAACATGGAATTGCCCGGCAAGAGAAGGTCACGAATAATTGAACTAAAACTTACACACCTATGAGTTTTACACATGGAACGACATGAGCCAAATCCTTGGTGGGGTGGGCGAAAATGAGGCCCAAAGAGTTAGGGGCTCAGGTCTGGTAAACGTGGATCATGCGGGGTAGTAGGCGGTTCCGCGATCAACTAATCTTTACGCCTAAAAAGACTATAATGTCATTATCTACCCAGTGATATCAATCGATCCTTGCTCAAGCGTTCGCATCCGATACAAATCATCTTCTACTTGGAGCTCACGCGTTCATGTCCTACACGGTTTCGATACGAAAACCGGATCCACGTATCCACGTTCGATACAAAGCCCTCGGAGCTCACGCATTCATATCCGATTATTGAGGTTCATGACCCCAGTGCAACACACGGGCATATATCTAATATATGCTACGTACTATATAGACTTGCACATCTTTAATTTAATTCAGGAAAGTACTGTGTCTATTTGGGTGTGAGGGGAAAAGAAAACACCGGAGTGGACGGAGTGTCGTAAAGCATATTTTCACCATGTTCGCTTGTTGGTTTCAGTCAGGGCTTATCAGCCATAGTACAATGTTTATCTCTCACAATAAACCAGTATCAACCGGGCTTATCAGCCCAAAAACCAATCAATGAACAAGCTGTTTGTTTTGACACCCAATATATTTTCACATCTAGGGCTCTTGATTTGACCGCCTTTTCCTAATGTATTTCGCCACTCGGGATGCAACACTCTGACCACATATGTGCATACCATGCATGTTACACAGCCGAAGTTGCAGATGCCCTGTCTCGATAATAATCCACCCACGGTTTCTCGGCTGCGAAAACAACGGGCTCGCGTGATGCCTCTCTTTTCTATGGGCGCCAGGGCGATCTGCTCGGTTCTTCTAGGCACGACCGCGATGGTGTCGTGCCGTGATGCTTCCAAGGCACTCTCTGCGTGATGCTTCCTTCTGTCGTAGATAATGCCACTTGCGTAAATATTTGAATCAATAATATGCTCGCTAGCTGATTCGTGGTTTACTTCTACGGTGAGTCGGTGACAAATTCTACCTCAATTGACCGAGACTGTGCGTGCGAATAATTCTAGATGATTTTTTTTTCATTTCGATATATAAAAATGGCCGTATAATATGACACATTCTCCCCTCCAAATTTAAAAAGAAAAAAAAATGAGTGTTCAACTTTACTACTACAAGCATCTACGAGGGAATGAGTTGACATATACATGCTAATGCTCTCATCATCGACTGATGTTTATCACTAAAAAATAAAACTATTAATTTGCTAAAATAAATCTAACTAAAAATAGCACATGAATTGCTAAAATAAATATAGAAAAATACAAACACATATGTAGAACTTGAACATTTAATTTGTAGACAGGTTTCCTACAATAAGTTAGCTGAGGTAGACATATATAGAGCTTGTTTGGCACAACTCAATTTCACTAGTAAAGTTTTTTTATTTTTTGGAAAACAGCTTCATAAGCAACTTTCTATGTGAAGCTAAGTTGTTTTAGAAAAATTATTTAGCAAAACAGCTTTACCAACAGCTTCATGTATGGATGGGAGAGAGAAATGAGGGAGAGAGTTAGGATAAGCTACTTTTTTCAGCTTTATCCTAACTCATGTCTTTGTGAGAGGTGAAGAAAAACAACTTCATGGGTCAAGTTGTTTTAAAAATGAGTGTTTGACAAATAAAACAGCTTATAGCAGCTTGATGTGAGTTGTGCCAAACAGGTCTATAATTTACAAATGAGTTGTCACCTTCTTAGCACCTATTGCTGGCTCATAACGTCATTGACACTGTCACATGATTGTTTTTAATGCTCTGTTCGTTTGGCTGATAAGCCATGACTGAAAGTATTGTTGGCTGATTTGTTGTGAGAAAAAATATTATTCGTTGGCTAAAAAAATACGGTTTATAAGCTAAGCGAACAAAGCGCAAATCTGTTTATGTCATGTATATATTAATGAATTTGTGGACATCCAAGCTATTTCTGATTTTTTAAAAGAAAAAAACTGTTCACTGACATTTTCAAAAATGTTACCCAGAAGCTTGGAAGGGAATTACGTGACCTCGATGATGCGTACCATCGATCGATCAACGATCATCGTAGGGGGCGCCCCCTGGTTAGCTTTGCATGGTTTTGACTAGCCAATGCTATAATATATCTATGCATGCTTTTGTGTACTTTCCTAAGTGCTTTAGCTTGCAAACAGACAATGAGACCGGACTAATCGAGCTGGTGCTGATCTGCCAGATTTACGAACCACTCCACTGCTAATATAGTACTAAATTCGTTCTAAACGATACTTTGTTTGATTTTTTTTATCCCAAGTTTCATCACTCGTCTTATTTAAAAATTTGTGCTAAATATCACTTCTTTTGTTATGGTTTGCTTTGTTAACAAAAGTTCTTCAAGAATGACTTAAATTTAACTATGTTTAGTAAAAATCAAATGAATTATAATTTGGAAACGGAGTGATTATATAGTAGTAAAAAAAGGCAATGCCAAGATTACGCCTGCGCACCCTGTCAGGCCGCCTCCTTTTTATACGTGGCGGCGTCCGTCGTCCGTGGCGGCAGTACGCACCCACGAGAGCAGAGGTCTCCATGGAGCAATCGGCAGCTGCACCTCCCCGGCAAGCCGCTGCGGCAGAGGCGGCAGCGGCAAAGAAGAAGCCGACGACGCTCCTCGACGCGTACGAGGTGGAGTGCATCCGGCGGGAGCTGCAGCGGCTCGTCCTGAAGCACAACCAGAGCGCCGCCGGGGGCGACACCGGCACCGCGCCGGGCGCGCACGCGCACGGCCACCGCCACAACAACGTCGGCGGCCACCTCCACCACCATCGCGTGAGCAGCGCGAAGAAGGCGACGAGCGCCAACAGAGTCAGCCCGTCGCCATCGCCGTCGCTAACGCCGCCGCCGCCGCCGCCGGGGCCCAAGAAGGACCGCCGCCACGGGGTGCGGCTGCTGGGGCGGCACGCCGTCGCGATCTGCGGCGGCACCGTGCGCTTGGCCGCCGCCGCTCCCGTAAGCGGCAGAGGGCGGCGCGCCATGTTGATATGCAGCGGCACCACCACCGCGCCCGTGGGCTGCGTTGCCGTGGGCGTCGACGGCAGGAGGCGGCCGCGCGGGGGCTACCGGGAGGTGGAAAAGGTGTAGCACTTCTCGTCGTGCGCGCGTGGTTGGGGGAGCCGACTGACAGGCGGTTTAGGATTCGGCGTGTAAAACTAGGAGCTTTTTTTTTTGGGTCTCTGATTGTGTTCTGATTTCTCCAATCGCATAAGAATTGCGTGCCTGCCCGTGAACCTCCGAATTGCTTTGCTGCAAGATAAATAAGTTATTATACGTCGATAAAATTAAGAAACTGCTGCGCTAGCATCTACAGAAGGGAGTACTGGAGTTGTCTGCTTCGTCTGGAACTCTGTTTGCTCTGGTTTCTGGTGGTGCGCGGCGCAGCGATCGGTAACAAGAGCCATCTTGGGGTTGATAGCGTCAGTGCCGCGCCGCGTGCCTAGTGTTCGCGCGCTTGGGCGCTATCTGTTTCTGGTCAATGCGAGTCGTGACTAAACGGCACCACCACCAACCATGTAGTTCGCTACCAATCAGAATGTGAAGCCGCACCTCGGTGGCCCGGCCATCACCGGCGTTTTCGTGAATTGCATGCGAGATGGCACTCGGGTGGCATGGCGAGCTAGAAACTAGAATGCGCTGCGGGCGTTTGGGTAAACACAAACCACCGAGACACGAGTGGCGGAAACCTTCGAATCGAAACAAGAGGAGTAAAGTGCACCAGCGGCCCTTAAATTTGGCGGAGGGTGTTATTTATGTCTCAAACTCCTAAAATACACATCTAGATCCTTAAACTTTGACACATGGTATATAACAGGTCAAACAGGTCCAGACTAGACCTGTTTGCTGACATGGCGGTTCACGCTAGCACCAGCGATGCAAGACCAGCCCCTAAACTTAGCTGAGTGTGTCATCTAGTAGGTCCCTAAACTTTTAAAATGCACATCCACATATAATAATTTAAAATATATGAAAAAATAACATTATAATAAACATTTTAGTACTAAATATATCAAAAATCAATAAAACTATAAATAATATTTTTCAATAAAATACATAAAATAATTTCACCAATATATTGAATAATTAAAGTACACAAAATTAATATGAATTATTCATATTAAAACTAACCTTTATATACATAATAATATTATTATATATATGCTATTAGCCATAGAGATAAGTTTTAAATAGTTTAAATGATGCATATTTTTTGTTAAATTAAAGTTGATTTTTTTACATTACTAATTAGTCATACATATAGTTTTAGATGACTTTACAAGGTACTTTTTTTATTTGTGGATAATCGAGAAATAATGTATCTCTATTACTAATTAGTAATGTAAATAATATCAACTTTAATATATAAAAATATACATCATTTCAACTATTTAAAACTTATCTCTATGGCTAATAGCACTATATAATAATAATATTATTAATGATATATAAAGGTTAGTTTTAACATTTCTAATCATATTAATTTTAGGTAGTTCAATTATTCATATATTGGTGAAAATATTTTTATATATATTTTAAACTATTTATTGATAAATATTATTTAGAGTTTTACTGATTTTTTATATATTTAGTTATTGAAATGTTTATTATATATGTAACTTTTTATATATTTTAAATTATGTATATGGATGTGCATTTTAAAAATTTAGGGACCTAGATGACACACTATGTCAAGTTAAGGAGTTGGTCTGGCATCGCTTGTGCCAGACGTCAACCAACAGGTGTAATCTTGACCTGTTAGGACCTGTGACGTACCATGTGCCAAGTTTAATGACCTGAATGTGTGTTTTGGGAGTTTGTGAACTTAGATGACACCCATGCCTAGTTTAAGGGCCGCCGGTGCCGTTCCGATATATTCGCGGCGCTGACCAATGCGCGCTCGCGGTGAATAACGATAACACAAAAGTCTTCAAATGCACTTTCATTACTTAGTTCTGGCATTGCAACTGCGGAAAATTGTTGAAATTACAAAAATAGCGTGCACGTAGCGCCCAAAATCCAAATCAGCATGAAAGTTGATGTTGAGAATGAGACAATAAGGAGGTTGATGAGCTCACCGCCTCACCCGCACATTAGGCAAGGTCTATGGCGATGAGGCACTTTTGCTTAAATGACTAGGGAGCCAAAGATTTTCCGTTAACAAGATCTTGTTATGTCCCTAAGAAAGACAAGAATGCCTGTGTCTCTCACAAGACTCAATTTGTGAAGAGCAATGCCAACTATTGCTACAAGTGCAAGCATACGGGATACATGGAAAAAGAGTGCAAGAACAAGAACGTTTCCTGTATTCGTTTAGATTCTTGCTATATTCTTTCAAAGGGTGTTAATGGGGCGCATGCTAAATTTGTACTGGGCATGGGAAGCGTACTCTGGACATGGGCAGCACACCCGACAACATGTCTAGTGTTAATGACCTTTCCTAACACCTGAGGTGTTACACTTATCAACTCAAGTAAAGAATTAGTCCACTGGTTTATCACTCAATTACTAAAAACAAACTAGGGACTTTCCAAGTACTTGGTTACAACAGAATGCCATATGTTAAGCAAAACTTTCTGGGATAACAAACGTTGAGATGGCTTTCAGAGCTCAATTTACGTGTCCCCAAGAAAGCTTGCCACAAAAATAAATCTTGCCGCTTCAATCCTTCCTTTTGGTGGGCTTCTGGTGTGGCAAACAAGAGAAGCCTTGGGTAATTTTCTGCAACGGATGAATCAGAGCCTCTTTTCATGTTAGGTGATATGCCCCAAAAGTAATCCTATATGCGGATGATGGAGGCGTTGGTCTTGTCGATGCCCTCATTGTAGTAAAGCTCCACAAATGTTCCCCCACCAATACCCTTTGCCAACCTCCCAGGGTTCACACAGATAAACCGTTTCTGGTCGTCGCTACCTTCTCCAAGGGAAAACACCTGGACATAATAGCTGTTCAGTATCATTCCATTCAGAAGGAAACAGACATGTGAATATACAGTTGACTTTTGAACAATGAGCTAGCGGATGGGTAGAATTCGAATATATGAATATCAATTAGAAGTTTACAATAAATGTGCTGCCTGTACTAAAAACTTGTTATTACCTTCACAAATGGTGCAAGATCAGAAGGAAGAAGGAGAACATCTGGTGCTGATGAGATCTCCAGTGCTTCCTTAGCAAGTGAGAAGTCTAATGGCACACCAGCAGCAGGAGGATATAGAGGATAGTAACTGTAGGAAGAGTGCTACATCAGAACTCATAAACTGCACACAATCCGTCCCAACTGATACAACATGAAAAAGCCAAATGGAATCACCTTTGTTGCTTTAATATGTGTGAGGCAAGTCTACCAATCCTGTCTCCAGGCTTTCCGACAGGTGGCTTGCGAGAAATTTCCTCACCACTGAGCTGTTTCAGAATGTCCACTGTACAACAGCCAAAATGTATCTGGAAAGAAGGAAAGCAAACATTTTCGGGTAAGACTACACTTATCAACACATTTCTAACAACATATAAGATGAATTTTGCTCAAAATATGCATAAGTATTAAGAAAACCATTTCCATTCTTAATATAATGGCACGCAGCTCTCCTTCGTGTTCGAGAAAAAAAACATTTCCCAATAAGTTACAAATTTGGAGAATATCTCATGAGCAAACACAGGAACAGTGTGGCAGTAGGCCTGGTAATCCCTAAGCATTGAATGGATTCTTCTAGACAATGCAACATGAGAGAAAATGCAGAGATGAGGAGCATATTAAGATCACAATATGGAGAAAAAGATTCTTTTGAGTTTAATGACCATGTCTCAATTTTATTTTGCAGGACAATAACAAAAATAACTTAACCAAAATAAAGGCATACCTATTTGATAATAGACAAGGAAAACCATATATATTTTGCATGCTCCAACCATTACATTATTCATTACAACTATTAACATAGTGTACCTCGTTAGAACTGAAGAGACATGGATTTGCCAGACAAGTAATCTGCATAATGTATGTAAACCTTTTAAAAACAAAGGAATATTATTACCAAATACCTCACAAGAGCAATCTTACAGAGTAACACATATACCTGATGTGTGATATCTTCTGGAAAATTCAAATCAAATGCAGGCTGCAAGTAGCGACAGTACAGATATATCATTAGAGATGCTTGTGCTGAGAACATTAAAAAAAGGCTTAAATAACAATAACACAATTGATCTGCACATACTACCAGACTATAAAGTCTAGTACGGTGGAAGTAAACTTGTTGCACTATCTCAGCAAAATTTACATCTAACTTTGCAGACATTAATTGATAGTAATGATACAGCAACATGTTTAGAATTATTAAATCAGATCTAAATCTCAATAAGGAAAATTACAAACCTGAGGGAAAACAAAGTCATGGTGAGCATCACGCACTGATGGAATGAGAATTACACGGACAGTGTTCCCCAGATACTGGGTAAAGTCTTGAATCTGAACAAAAAATATATAACACACATGAATAACTATTGCATTTGGCAATGTGCCAGCATTACACCTTCAGAAATCAGCATTTACCTACCTTTCTCAGAATTTCAAAATGGAAAATGTCATGAAAGCTCTGGTCAATAGTTCCTTTTTTTATGTCAGGATGATCAGAGTCAATGAAGGGTCCCATCTGCCAAAGAACAATTGATGTGTACAGTAGCAGAACATTTCAAACATCAATATGCTGTCCCATGTACAGAATTGAGAGGACTCACCAATATGAGCAGCTGAGGCTGCTTACGACAAGCATATGAAAGAAGTTCTTGCAGTGGTTCAAACAACAGATTATCGGTTGTTGTATAGGGGCCTGCTGCGATGACCTGTAAAAGACATGAGGTAATTTTTTTTCTCAAGACATGAGGTAAAATGGAAATTATTTAAATCATTAATGATTGGCCTACTCTCCTTTGATTGAGCATGTCCATGCAATAAATGAATAAAGTATAAACATGCGATTCATAATTAAAATAGAAGAACAATGAACTGATATCAGTTTAAGCTTGGGCGAAATATACTAATTCTTTGTTAAACAGATATGTTTGATGCAGCATTATTTCAAACAAAAAACA